TATTTTTCCTTTGTTTCTTTCCCATGGACCGAGATAAGTGGAGGAAAAAGAAAGAGGAGAAGAAACAACAAGAGGAGATAGCTATCTCCTCTACCTGTTCATCTTCTTCTTCTGAAAGTGAGGACTTAGACATTGAAATGGGAGAAAACAACTCTCCTAAAGTTGTTATTCGAGCTGCTACTAAGCCTACTAGCAGCCTAGCAGCTAGCAGCTTTGCTTCTACTAGTAATCTTGCTAGTTTTGCATCTTCCACCCCCTCTACTCAGAAGAGAGATCACCTAGACCTATCCCCAGAGAAACCCAGGCCTAAGCATATTGCTATAGGTAAATTTCGAGCTCCCTCTTTGCTTTTTCAAGCCAATTCGACTTCCCCTGCTGAGGCATGCCTTAAGCAGGCCCTTTCCTAAATTCAACTAGCTATTCTATAGCTAGAAAGGTAAAGGAAGGATAATGTACAAGAAATCACCATAGCACTACAATAGGTGCTAAACAAAAGGCAATCTCCTGCTCCTATCTTGCTTAATAAGCAAGAAAAACAAATGTAAGAGCTTATTACTGTGATTAATAATAACATAAAGGCTTTAGCTGCTGCTATTAAGCTATAATACCCTGCTACTCTAAAGACAAATAAGAGGTAAATACAAGGCCTTACCTTTGCATAAGTAGCTGCTAAAGCTACTAACACCTCTTCCTTGCCCTCTAACACAAATGCTGCTGCCTAAACTGCTAAACTAGTAGCTAAGGAACAACTATTTACCCTTGTCCAAAGTAAGGCAGCAAAGAGAAAGGAAGAAAAAGAACTCTTCCTTAAGAGAAAACTAGTACTTGTTACTAGCAAGGAAGATGAGGGACAGGAGATAGGTTCTCTATCTCTAAGAAACAAGATAAACTACTGTCTCCTGGCTGTTTCTACAGCTAAAAAGCCTCTTGTTGCTGCTGTCTCTAGGTCTAGAGATAAGCAAAATATTGTCCTTACTACTACAGAGGACTACAATGCAGATTTTCTTATTAAACATAAAGAAAAATGGCAGAATCTATTTCGATTTAACCGTGAGCAAAGGGTTGAGACTTGGGCACAAATTGTTGCCTATGGGGTTCCCCTAGCCCTGAATTTTTAGGGGAAAGGGCTGGCACTGCCCTAAAGGAAGAGATAGAGACTTTCAATTCCTCTATCTCTATAGTGAGCTACCCTAGGTGGCTTACTAGGGAGACAAGGGAGGGACAGTAAACAGGATCCATTGTTTTTACTATAAAAGATGAAGAAACCCGCAGTGTTATCCTATGTCACAATAGGATTATAATTGCTAGCAAGACAGTTAAGATAGTTAAATATCTTACTGTCTCTCCTTCCTACCAATGTGGCAAATGCCAGAGATTTGGCCACCCTATGGATAGCTGCTACAAGCTAGCTTGTAGGCTATGTGGAGAAGCCCATAAAACACAGGAGCATAACTGCCTAGAATGTTCTTCTAAAGGCAGGCCCTGTAAACACACCATCCCAAAGTATGTTAATTGCAAGGAAGGCTACTTTGCTAACAGCAAAGACTGTCTAGTGTGGAAGACTGCCAAAAACCTTCCACATTAATGACAGAACAGCTTCGAGGAGATCCCTCCACAATTTTGGATAATAAGCCTAGGAAACTTAAAGGTGAATTGTCTATTATTCAACACAATACAGGGAAAAGACAAGAAGCACAACAAATACTCCTCGAAATTGCAGTTAAGAGACAGACAGATATCTTAGCTATACAAGAACCCTGCATGTGGAAAGACAAGGAGAAAGATAGTTACTTTACTATCTCCTACTCTGCATATGAATTAGTACTTCTGTCAGATGGTAAGCCAGTTTATGGACATCCCATCTGGGACTAGAGATGAGGACTGGGAGAAGTTTATGTACTGGTACTGTCTGAGAACATGTGGCTAGTGATTCTGCAGTGGCTAGTGCTCTACGCAGCCTTGGTGCCCAGAGAAGGAACATCAAAACTGGTGTCAGGCCCCAGCCTCACCCACATAAGAACACATATCTGAATACAATCAGTCAACCCATCTTCAATCTTTCTGTCACCGTGATATCTTTAGATACCATCAAATCTGACAACTTCTTAGTACTAGTTTATAGCCAAGAGTAGCTTTTTATCTTCGAAAAGCTACAAATTTTCAGTTTATTCAGCTAAGGAACTTAGAGAATAGGGACTTTTTGGCTCTAGAGATCTACAGCTCTACTAAAAGGTTCCTTTTATTCAATATCTACAATAAGAAAGAATTAAACAAGGATTCTACAACACAACCTCTAGGGGCTACTACTATTAGGAGGGCTCTTTTACCGCTTAATCTAAAGCTTCCTTTTGTCCTTTTAGGAGATTTCAATTGCCACCATCCTTGGTGGAACTCCATGGCTCAGAATGTCACCCGAGAGAGCCAGGACTTGGTAGAATGGCTGCAGGGCTATAATTGCCAATTACTTAATAAGGAAGAAGAGTCTACCTATTTTCGCTCTAATCTTACTAAGCAATCTATTATAGACCTAGCCTTCTATACCTCTTCCTTTAAGGAGAGTGAGCTTGACAACTGGGCAGTGCTAGAGGCTACAGGCTCTGACCATGCTATAATAGGCTTTTCCTTATTTATCAAGGAGGTAAATAAATTCCTCCACCCATTGCTTAGTAGGTTTAACTTTAAAAAGGCTAACTAGAAGCTTTTTAAAGAATACCTGCTTATAGTAACAGAGATAGAAGGCTTAGAGGCTAAGATTACTATGCTGGAAGAGCAAGTATCTTCCTCTAGCAATACTGCAATAGAACAGGCAGAGGAGGTAGCTGTTACACTTATAGCTTGTATCCAAGAAGCAGCGAATATAGCTATCCCTTTAGCTAGACAGTCTGAACATTCGAAACTGTCAGATTTGATAGTATCTGAAGATGTCACGGTGACAGAAAGATTGATTGAAGATGGGTTGACTGATTGTATTCAGGTGTGTGC